ATGTCTAGCGAACAACAAAGCAATGAAAATTGCTCAACCAATATACTACTCCAAGAGACAGAATCAACTAAAAACCAACATGAACAACCAGGTAACTCTTTTCTTTCTAATCATGCTTTTTCTTCTTCTTATCTACCGTCACAAATATACATCGCTAATCCACAAGATAGCCAAGAAAACCAAGATCGTTAATGGAAAACTGTTCAAGCCCACAAACGAGCAAGAAATGACAGCCCTGGAGATGATAAACAACTAAAACAAACAATAATGAGCGATTACTGGCTCAAAGCACCCACACCAACGTCTAATCGATTTGCTAGCTTAGATGAAGTACCTGATGAGACCAACCAAACCAGAACTGAAGCAGTTAAAGAAAATATTCAACCCCCACCCATATTTGTTTCAGATGTAGGTGATATACAACCTCTTCGACAATTGTTAGAAACAATATCCCCTCTGGGATATTCCATCAAATGTCTCTATAATGACCAAGTAAAGATCCAGCCCTCAACTTCTGAGTATTACCGAAACATAACCAAAGTACCCAATGAGAAAAAAACACATTATTACACCTACCAAACTAAGGAAGAAAGAAAATTCCTAGTTGTGCTTCGTAATATGCATCAGACAGCAGATAAAGACGCTTTAGTACATGAGCTAGGATTAATGGGTCACGAAGTAACCAACATAGCTAATATATACAAATAATGGATCCAAAATGGCGCTTACGCTCTTTTATATAGCATTAAAACCTAAGCCAAATAATAAAGACATATATGATATGAGAGCACTCGACAACATGATTGTGTCCTTCGAACCACCATATTACAAACGTCAGGTTCCCCAATGTACCAAATGTCAACGCTACGGTCACACACAAAATTCTGCCATATGCCACTAAGATGCGTAAAGTGTGCAAGTAATCATCTTACTTTACACTGTCCACGAAAAGAACGCAGCAATAATGTAAAATGTGTACTTTGTATGGGAAACCATCCGGCCAACTATAAGGGCTGCAGCATATACAAACAAATACAAAAAGAAAAATTCCCCCAACTCAGAAAGAATCAAGAGACCCAAGAGTCACCCCTAGTGTTTCTTACGCTTAAAAAACTTCAGGAAATAGTCAAACGGATGTAATCACAGATCAACAAACTAATGTCGGCTCAAAACCATTTAACGAAAATTGCCAACCTTGAAAACCTGATGACAAAACTGTGTGAGAAACTGTAGAGAGAATGAACACTATGCTTAATCTTCTTATGACTATGATTTCCAAAATGCGCTAATGCAACACATACTTAAAATAGCCGTCTGGAACTCAAATGGCCTAACGAACCACATCCAAGAAATAAAAATTTTCCTCGACGAGATGAAAATTGATGTTATGCTTGTATCAGAAGCTCATCTAACAGACAAAAACTATATCAAAATTCCAAAATACATTGTCTACTACTTAAAACATCCAAATGACAAGGCACACGGTGGCACAGCTATCATTATCAAATTTAATATGAAACACCATGAGTTAAATAAGTTCAGTGAAAAGTACCTGCAATCAACTAGCATTGTCATCAAAGACTGGCTAGGTACAATATAAAACTCTACCCCATCCTATCTGGTGTACCTCAGGGTAGTGTGCTCGGACCGATTCTGTACTTGATAGACACGGCTTTGCCAATAAGCAATAACCTAATGCTTGCAACATTCGCAGATGATACTGCTTTCTTGGCCTCTCATAGCAACCCAATAATAGCATCAGAGAGACTGCAACTACATCTGAACAAAACAAATGAATGGCTTAAACTCTGGAGAATTGGAGTAAACCCCTTAAAATCCACACAAATTACATTCACTCTAAGAAGAGGTACATGTCCACAAGTTAACCTCAATGGACATCCTATGTCCCAAAGTGACGTAAAATACTTAGGTATTCACCTTGACAAACGTCTAACTTAGAAAAAAATATATAAGGCTTCAATTGGGAATTTTATACAGAAAACTTTACTGGATGTTGGGAAAAAACTCTCACCTATCAATCGACAACAAGCTGCTGATATACAATACAATAATAAAACCCATTTGTACATATGGCTCGCAGCTCTGGGGTTCAGCTAGCAAATCTAATATTATGATAATACAAAGATTTCAATCCAAAACTCTGGGAACAATCGCTAATGCACCTTGGTATATCCAGAATGATGCAATACATAGAGATCTTCAGGTACTAACAGTCTCTGAAGAGTGCAAAAAATCTTCTAAACAATATCAAAACAGGTTGCGGGTGCATCCTAATACCCTGGCACACAATCTACTCAACAACCAACAAGCGAAGAGATTGAAGCGACATGACCCCTTGGACCTACCTCACCGATCCTTACAGAGCCTACAGCAGTGGGAGTTACGCCTTCAACAGCACCTAACCATTGTGATCAGTGCCGCTTTTAGTGCTCGCGTATCAGTGCATGTGCGCATCCTACCGGTAAACAAGCCAATTTGTGTCGTGATGATTTGGTCACTGGACCTTACATCTCTCTGTCATGTAAAGTCAAAAAATTTTACTCATTGTGTTCACTGCAAAACAGATTGTAAAAATCGTAAATGTTAATAAAAAAAACTTGTGTCTTTCCTGAACACGATCTATATCTACCTCATTATTTGCAAGTCTATAGTATTTATCTATTAGTTAAGGACGATCTGACTCTCGTCTTGGTTTTCTATAAAATTTTACATTATTAACAAATTCATACAGAAAATAACGAGCAATAAAACTACTTTGGCATAAGAGAGCCTAAACCAGATAATATAATAACGTCATTACGAATACAATTTGAAGTTAATCCCAACTGCTAATTTATACCGTAAAGCTAATTTTGTTCTCGTATTAACAGCGAATACGAAAATGGCTCGAATGGCTCCCGAAAGATTATACAGAGCTGTAATAAATTTGTGCTTCTAACACACTCATAAAAATAAATTTTCCCAACTTCGTGGCTTGGTTATCCCGAAATATAAAAGTGCTAGTTTCTAATCTTCCTGAATTATAAGGCGAAGTGTAGTTGTGTAGCGCTTGTGCTCATGAAGCATTTTGGTGTAAACTCGTAAAATATTTTCTAGTAGATAGTTTATTACAATAAATAGACTTTTTTAATGCTTTAGAAAAGTCTGTAAAATATTTCCTTGAAATATTTTAGACCTCTGGTAAGTTTTAGTATACTCTTCAAAGTTTTAGAAGATGTTTTTAGCAGCACAAAATATTTTAGAAATGTCATGGAAGCTTATAGGTGTATCTGAAATTTTTTGTAGCAACCGCAAAAGTTTTGGAAAAGTTTGGATTACTTCTAGAGCCTCTACACTGCTTCAGGGTGGTCTAATATACTTAAGAATAATCTACAAAATATTTTAGGAAAACAGTTGATAGTGTAAGATTTTAACCATGCCATTCATACCATTTTGAAATTAGCGAGTGACGTTAGGATCGTGGGGAGATCAACCTTAATTATAATCTCCTCTTCACCACAACAAAAATAATCATGGAGATCCCTACCGTATACCCTATCGTTTCTTAAAGGTAGTTTGGCGAATCTCTAATACAATCAATGGTAGCAAGAATGATCACAAGGAATCAAAGTATAATCACACAAATTTATTTAAATACTGTAACATTTTTATACATTATTATTTAAATTATTGTTAATTCCTTTTAACCCCGTGATGATACTGATGTCGTGTTTACGATCAGAAATTTTGATTGGGAAAATATCGGAAAATGACTGAAGAATCTACCTACCTATTTATTTAAAGACGCCGGTTTGGCTAATTCTTAGTTAACCTTTTCCGGGTTCTTTTTCATATATTCGGTAATTGTCGTAGAACGCCCGTTGTAATGTTTTTCGGGAAAAACCTAATCTAGAAGATTTATATTTTATCACGTCCAATTACTATTACCGTAAATACCTCAAACTTTCCGATGTCGTTAGAATCTTACCTTCTCAGAAATAGATACAGGCTGGCCTACGATTTTTAAGAGGGAGATATCCCTTCTTCTTTTTTTGATTTAAGTTTGGTAAAATTTTAGAAGAACCTTTTTTTACTTCTCGGTGGGCCGTTGTGGAGTAAAGGCTGATTTCTCGTGAGACGCTTCGCTCACATCGTATCTGTTATCTTACCGTCTGTGAATTGTTTTCTAAGTGTGTATACACTTTATATTTGAGTTTTCTTTTCTTATACTATATTAGATTATATATAGTTCTAAAGTACCTTTAATGTTAATTAAAGTCAGTGTTGGATACAAGTAAAGTATTAAGTACAGTATATAGCTTCAGTGAAGTACCTAGTGCCGCAGTCGTGAAGATTTACTGTAAGTAATCATTATCTTCAAATTATCTGGGCGAGTAATATGGTATGGTATCATATCATCTGCCATTATCTGGACGTATCTAAAGTTCCTCCATGTCTTCACCTGTAGATTGCTGATTTTTGCATTCAATTTAAAGAACATTTCAATAGATTCAAGAAATTTAATAGTAATAATATGAACATTTAGTCTCATTTCTCATTAAATAATATGCGAGATAGTTAATCCACTTAACCAAGTGCGGTTTGGTTAAATTCTTATGTTTTCATTTCTGTTAACCTTTTTGTATTTTTGTAAATTTAGAATTGATTAATTTTTGTTATCTTTTGTGTTGGTTATAACTTTTATTCATTTTTTTGCTGTAATATCTCGAGATACGCCAAAACTTTATTTGTACATGATTGTATTATATATCTTTGTAAAGGTATTTTCTGAATTATAATTAATTCGTCTTCCGGGTTTGGACCGTGTCATTTGTGAGTGACCCAAAAGTGGGTTCATCTCGACGTTTCGCTACAATTGTATGTAGCTTCTTCAGGAGAACAAAGAAAAAGAAAAAGAAAACAAAAGACAGGAAGATGGGTAGTTAGCAACGGTAACTCAGTTACTCAACGCAACCAGAGGCGAATACTAACTACCAAGATGGGCATTTGGTCACAGTAACTCAACTACTCAACGCAGCCAGAGGTGAAAACCAAATGCCAGGACAGGGATTCACGTCCAACAGCTCAGAACACTAACGCGTCGAGAGGCGTGACCAAATGCCCATCTTGGTAGTTAGTATTCGCCTCTGGTTGCGTTGAGTAACTGAGTTACCGTTGCAACTACCCATCTTCCTGTCTTTTGTTTCTTCTTTTTCTTTGTTTCCTGAAGAAGCTACATACAATTGTGGCGAAACGTCGAGATGAACCCACTTTTGGGTCACTCACAAATGACACGGTCCAAACCCGGAAGACGAATAAATTATAATTCTGACTCTGGCCGTGGAAGCCTACGATCTCAAGGTATTTTCTAATTATATTACTGCTTATTTTTATATGTATACCACCATTTTATAGTTGTTGGTGTACTTTTATTAGTTGTGTTGCATTCAGCAGCGTCATAATTTGGTTGTTGAATATATTGTTATTGTTTTATGTATGTATTTTATTTGTCGGCTCCCAATAAGTTCCCTGATAAAATAGTAACTCTGAGTATTTGCTTTTTATCTTTAAATAGGTATTACTATACCTTTGACCAGTAGAAAGATCAGGCTGATTAAGTTTCGTAGGTAACTAATATATTTATTATTTGTTTATTCAGTGTGTTGACAAAATTTATTTGATAATTAACTGTTGGTATCTTTCCTTGG